CCATACTTCCTCCATAAAATTTATCTACAATAACTCTCTTCCATAAACTATGGTCTTCCTTCCCAAATCTGTCCCACCACTTCCCTAGAAGGGCTATGTTCCTACATTCCAATTCCGGCACACCGAGACCTCCCTCATTTCTACCCTTGCAAACTTTCTCCCAACTTAGCCATGCTATTTTATTTTTCTCCTCCGTATAACCCCACAAGAATTTTCTTTGTAAGCACACAAGTTCATGAAGCACGATCTTAGGAATTTTAAAAATGGACATAAAATAAATTGGGAGGGCAGAGAGAACAGACCTTAGCAATGTAAGTCGGCCACCAATCGACAGGCTTTTCGCTTTCCAGACTACCAGCTTTTTATTAAAGTTGTCAATAACTGGAATCCAAGGCTTTCGTCTGCACATACTGTCACCTATTGGCATCCCGAGGTAAGTGAAGGGAAACTCTCCAGATTTGCAATTAAGATTAGCTGCTGCCATTCTCCTCCATTCTTCCGAAACACAGCATGAGTACAAGACACTTTTGTTGAAGTTAATCTTCAAGCCTGAGATCAGTTCAAACCATCTCAAAATTCCTTTCACTGCTTTAATATTGCCCGGTTCTGCCTTCCCCATTATAACAGTATCATCAGCGAATTGGAGATGTGAGATGTTAAGATCTCCGGAGCCTACAGGAATTCCTTGGAATAGTTCTTTGTTGACAGCTTATTCGATTAACACATTTAGCCCTTCAGCCACAATAAGAAAGAGGAACGGAGCAATCGGGTCACCTTGTCTTAACCCCTTCTCCATTTTAAATTCTTCTGTTGGGCTTCCATTAACAAGCACTGATACTGAAGCTGTTTGCAAGCATTCCTTAATCCACAATCTCCATTTCTCCCCAAATCCGAGCCTTCTCATCATTTCATCCAGGAAATCCCAATTCACACTGTCGTATGCCTTTTCGAAGTCTGCTTTGAATATGAAGCTGCTGATTTTTTTCCTCCTGATTTCCTCTACCACTTCATTGAGAATCAAAATACCATCTGTGATCTGTCTTCCTCCCAAAAATGCTGATTGTGTCCCACTTATCAGCTTGGGTAGTACTTTCTTAATCCTATTTGCCAGCATTTTCGAAATGATTTTATAAAGACTACCAATTAGGCTTATGGGTCTGTAGTCTTTTAAATCAATAGGATTATCTTTTTTTGGGATAAGAACAATAAATAAAGAGTTTATCCCCCTTACTAGTTTGCCGTTCCTGAAGAATTCTTGGACAAACTCGACAATGTCTTTCTCGATCACATTCCAAATGGATTTGATAATATGGAAACTGAATCCATCAGGACCAAGAGATTTGTCTCCTCCGCAATCCCACACTGCTTGTTTCACTTCTTCTGCTGGCACTTCTCTTTCTAGCCAAACGCTGTCTTCTATCCCACTGCTCTTCTTGAAAGATTTTGTTGAAGTATTCATGCACTTCCTGCTTCACCACACTTGGTTCCTCTATCCAGGCTCCATCTTTGTATATGCCCCGAATCATTTTTCTCCTCCTGTTGCTGTTCATTATTCTATGGAATAGCTTGGAATTAGCATCTCCTTGCTTTACCCAGTCGAGCTTTGTCTTCTGTTTCCATGCCACTTCTCTTCTTTTCCATGCTTCCCATAATTCACTAAAGCCTTCCTTTCTTAGCATGATATCCTCCTCTGTTAATTCGCCGTCCTCATTCTTATTGTCAACATCATTGATTTTTGCTGCTGCCTCTGCGATTTGCTTCTCAAAACTTCCGAAGACTTCACTGTTCCATTTCTTCAGTTTGTTCCTCAATCTTTTGAGCTTCTCTTTGCACACATACACCTTCCATCCCTCTACCCCTGCAGAATTCCAGTTTTCCTCAACCATTTTGACAAATTCTGGATGTTGGTCCCAGCAATTTAAGGTCCTGAAAGGTTTTGGGCCCCAATTGCTATTGACCTTCTTTAACATCAATGGGCAATGATCAGATGTCGTTCTATTCAGTCCAATTTGGCAACAATCACCCCAGAAATTAATCATACCATCAGATAAAAGAAATCTGTCCAGCCTACTCTTTGCTGACCCATCACTCCTGTACCAAGTAAATTTCCTTCTTGTTAGTGGTAAATCAACCAATCCTGCTATTTCAATGAATTCGTTGAGGTCCTCCCCGTAGTTAGGATGCTCGGATCTTCCTCTTCTCTCATCCGCTGATCTCACGCTGTTAAAATCTCCGGCAATGCACCAACAATTTTCTTTGATCTTTTGTTTTTTTTTTTTTGACCGGCAAGGATTTTTTTTTATTATTAATTAATGGAGTACAAGGGGTACCCCAACCCATCAACTTGACCATTTGAAATTTATACAGTTTGGTCGAATGCAAAAAAGTGTCGACACGGTATCCAGTGTGTCGACACTATGTCCGTGTCGAACTTTCTGCTTTCTGATGCAAAATCTTTACCCAT